AAAGAGCCATTGTCATATCCAATTAACAAACTTTCTTCGTCATTTATGTTTTAAAGCACAATAAGCTGAATGAGTTTGTTGTGTATGTGAACAGCAACCACCTATTTTGTGAAGTTTGGGTTTTCTATTTTTTCTACACAGCCGTGAAATGCCCCGTAAATCGAATCAATAAACCACTCGAATGGATTTTCCCCCAAAAAATAGTGTCTCTACGGGGTTGGCTACATTCTGGCCACTCACTCTATGTGGTTAGCCCGTCATTATTGTCCAACGTAATCACATTATTTGTGCAGCTGCATTGCGCTGCAGATCGGGGAATTCCCCTTGAACTTTTCCTGAATGTCACGAGCTGGCGGTGCGGTTCGCTCACCTCGACAGCCACTTTCCCAGCCCCACAAATATACCAATCTCCCCCCAGAGAATGCCTCACAGAGTCATTACCACCCACTGAACACCCTCTTCCCCAGCGTGAAATATTATTTTAGCCGAGCCCCAAAAGCGGCAAAGTGAGTGAGTGACAGGCAATAAAAATGGGGGGCGACACTCGGCCCGGCCACTTCCGGCCAAGCCGGAAATGTTTCTGGACGGCCAAAGGAGGGGGTAGTGTCGGGCGAACCGAAGGCCGAAGCCGTGTGCTATGCAAATAATTTAATTAATATTTTATTCGGACACCCGTCGGCCGGCGAAGCGGAAGAAAATTGGATTTTTATTTACATTTTTGCACTTACTTGAACCCGCCCGAGGATTCTGAATAAGAATGGGCATTGAATGAAGGATGAAATGCACAATAAAGCCAGATGCGAGCGTAAATTAAATCCCAACCTCTTCATATACGTATAGACCGATGCGTTGGCATTGGCCTGCAGTCAAAATTGAGAAAAATATCGAAAAAAGTTCAGTCCAAATCAACTTACGCCTGTAAACAGTAAACAAATCGGTGGGATAAATTCATATATACATATATACCATATAGTTGCAGAGATAGCTCAGACAGTTAGTTGCTCGTAAATCGGTGGGGATTATGTGCGCTAATAAAAGTTTAAGACGCTCGAGAAAAATATACAGTGCAGAGCGAAAGAACGAGGAAGCGTTTGAAAGTTTTTGACGATTACGCATACGCCCTGTGCGCCGGAGGTAATTACTGCGTACAGTACTGAATAATGATGATGATTAATGGTTAGACTTAACCGAGTGGAAAGCGAAATCATAAATGAGATTTTTTTCGTTAATAGCTTTATTAGCCAGACAACATTTAGCATACATCGATGATATGTTTAAGAAAAAGTTGTCTCTTTTCGTTTTAAGTAAAACACTTAAAGAAAAACAATCCACTTAAAAGTAGTATTAAGGATATAAAATAATAAGTTCCGTTAGGAACACCAAGTTCAGATTTATGAAAACAAATCGAATGAATCTTAAACCATAACTTAAATTTTTGTTCATTTATTTGAAAGGTTTTTGATACCACTAAATTATGGCCCCAAAATATGTTTTATTATTTCCTTAAAACACTTGATTGCTTCTATACTTGCAAAGTATAAATAAGAACTGTACCACAAGTGTCTGTCTTATCTTAATGGAATATTAGAAATTCGCTGATGGATAAGACTCACTCCCGTGCGGCTGTCATTCATAATTAAATTTGACTGTGCTATCTCTTAACTCTTTTTCACAGTTGGCTCTTTGTCGAGCGTTTGTTTGTCTGTATACCCAGAAGTCATGTGTCTGTTGACACTTCTGGCCCCCAAGGTCAGAGCCGAAATAATAATCATAAAACAGAAAAAAACCGCGCAAGAACATAAAAAGAAAAGCTGAGCAAAAATTTCGGTGACAGTAGATTGCAATAAATAATAAATTCCAGGAGTTAATGCGAGCAATGAGCGCGGCCACCGACGGGCATTCATCACATGGCTATGCGGGTATATAGTATAGTATGTCCTATAAAGTCTCGCGTGATCCGAAAACGTTGGTGAAATTTCGGGGGAAAAGGCGGAAGAAAAAGCGAGAAACAGGCGCGGAAAATGGGGAAACCCCTTCGCAACTTTCTGCCACATTGCGTTGCCAACACGCACGTCAGTCATTCCGCTTACTTCAGAGTTTTTCCGAGTTTTCCACAGTCCCCCTTTCAGTTTTTCCGCCGAGTGGCAAGTGAAAAACCTTTTCTTCTCTCATTGTTCTGGCAACTTTTTTGCCGGTTTCTCAAGTGATTGAATGAATTGAATTGGATTGGATAAATTTGCCAGAGTAAAAAACTTTAAATTTACAATGATTGAAGCAACCGCCGATGTCGATTTTGTACTTGCAAATGAACTACGGTAAAGTGGTTTTTCCCACCATCCCAAAAAGGTAAGCTAATCGCTGGGCAAGTTTTCCAAGCAGGTTGAAGCGGGATTTTCCAGGGCATTATGTAAACATTGTCGGTTTTTATTGTCGGACTTTAAAGTTCGCTTGAAGTTTTAGCGGAAAACTTTGGTCATAGGCAAAGCTGCGGGCTTTAGAACACGTCCTCCAAAGGGAAGCTGCTCAATATTCATGTTCTTCTCTTTCGCAAATGCAAATCAACATTCTTAAAGGCCGAAAAAGTTTTATTGGGCCAGCAATCAGGTTTCCGGCGATGGGGCTCTCAGTAGTTCGGGGGAACTTCTTCAAAGTTGTTAATGTTTGATAAGGAATTGATGGGGAACACTGAGTGAAATGGCAAGAAATTTCTTAATTTCAGTTGTAATTTCAGCTCCAGTAGGGTTTTTGTTTGATTGGGTTATTTTAGATGAGCTGGTGTTCATTTTCGGTGCGTTAAATAAAAAATGAGGCTTAGCCTAGGATGTTTTAAAATATAGGGATATCAATTTGTTTAGTTATTTGTTTGATAAACATAATAATAATTATCTAATTAGTTCTACGTAAAGAAAATATTAAATTGTTATTCAAATAATCTCTAAATTATTAACATTTTGTCTATTATTGAGTTAACTTATAATTAATTTTAGATCCATATAATAATGATTTTATGTTTCAATTGCCAACAATGTCAAACCACTATTTAAATGGAACACAAATTCTCTTAAGCCAAACTGCAAAGCTCATTTTGATTAAAATTAAAATATTTATGGCGAATATTTGTCCACCTGCAAGCTGCGTATCAAGTTGTCAAGCTGTCAATGTTTGGATACGCAATTATAACGCATTTGCGGTAGCAACGGAATGAATAAAATACCAAAAGCACCTCAAAGCCTGTCACGGCCAACAGTGCGTGTTATTAATGTGTGGTGACATGGCTAATAATTATTAGCAATTATAATCGGATACATAAGTAAAAACACAAACAGTGCAGCTATTTGTCACAATAAGGCTGTTTATCAATTAGCTTCTTGTACAATAAATCTATATTTACGGATTGTGTTTATATACACAAAGCCGGATTTTCACCCCCACACTCTTTATGCAAAACCATTGCCCCCACAACAAATCCAAAAGACAAACACACATAAATTCTTTAGAATCTCCATTGCTCAGCCAGTGATTACGAGGTCCAGAAAATCCGGAGCAGGTGTCATTGGTCAGGCAAAATCCACCCACAACCACAGGGCCAGGTGTTTGGTAAAAAACAGACCTTTAATCGGAACTGAACGCCCTCTCTTATCACCGATAGACTCCATATGTCGGTGGGAAGTGGGAAGTGGAAAATGGGAAATGAGCTGGCCATTTTGCTGGAAATCCTCCCATCTGCTTCTGTCTGCGATTTCACGTCAGCACAATTAACATTTTATTATGGGCTGTAAAATTTCTTAAATATGATAAATTTATATGTATATGTACGTCCAGTCAGAAATTCAAAATTTACAGAGTGAAAATGTGCAACAATCAAAACAATAAAGGCCAAGGCAGCAAATACGTAAATTTACAGGGTATTTTCAGAGTCTTTTGTACATTTCAGTTCTTGCTAATGTTTACTATAAATCTGATTAAAATCATATTATACAAAGGTTATGTTGATTCTTACTGAAGCGAACAAAGAATCTGATTTTTGAAATATATTTTCATGAATATTGTAATTTTTATACCCTTGCAGAGGGTATTATAATTTTGGTCGAAAGTGTGCAACGCAGTGAAGGAGACATCTCCGACCCTATAAAGTATATATATTCTTGATCAGGATCACCTCCTGAGTTGATATAGCCATGTCCGTCTGTCCGTCTGTCTGTCCGTCTGTCTGTCCGTCTGTCTGTCCGTCTGTCTGTTTCTACGCGAACTAGTCTCTCAGTTTTAAAGATATCGAATTCAAACTTTGCACACACCCTTCTTTTCTTTGCACGCAGTATATAAGTCGGAACGGCCGGGATCGGCCGACTATATCCTATAGCTGCCATATAACTGATTGATCGGAAATGCCATAACTTTGGTGTTTGTAAAGTTAGGAAGTTGGGATTTTTTATGAGTATTAAGAATGCATCATATGAGTAATTTTGGAGAATATAATTTACAGAGTATTCTGCAAGGGTATATCAACTTCGGCTCCGCCCGAAGTTAGCTTTCCTTTCTTGTTTAAAGTTAATATTATAGGCACCTTTTCTATTAAAAGTGACAGCACTTTGGTAATTAATTTAATTTGAGACTAGAAATTACTTAATATTTCCTAAATATATCTTAAAATTTCTGAAAAATAAAACAGTAAGACAAAGTCGACCCTTTGCTTTTTTCCAAAATGTGTTGCTCATAAAATATGTAGGTACCTACAAATGTCTACATATATTCAAAGACTTCTTGTCGGCACAAGTGTAGCCGAGAGATTTTTCTACTAGGTATAATTTGTTTTATTTTTATGGTCGGATAATTTGCATTTTTAATGCCATTAAAAATTCATAATTGGAAAATAATGGGCCTGAAAGAGGGCGGCGCGAAGCAGAGTGGAAAATCGAAAGACGGTGGGGAAAAACTTTTTGAAAACTTTGACTAATTTCGAAACTCTGTTCTGTCTCTTTTTCTTTCTCTGGCTGACGCAGGGCGGAAAATGGAAAACTGAGAAGGGAGAAAGCGTAAGCGAAAGTGAAACAAACTGGGCCTGAAGTAAGATGTCAGCAGCGTTAGTACAAAAGGCGACGGAAACTCAACTCGACCAGTCACCGGAAGTGGGCGTGGCACAGCTGGCCACCATATCGTTGCTTTTGCAATACGACATAGACAACACACTGAATGCGCTCAAGGAGCAGCAGAAGATGACGCTGGATGCTCGATTGGGCGGCGAACTGCCCGCCGTGATCAACAACAACAGCCAGGACATCAACAAGGACATCAACCGGAACATGCCGGAGCAGACACAGACGACGGAACTGGAGGTGGGTCTGGATTTGGGACTGGGACTGGGCCTCAAAAGCATGGAGACCGCCTTCATGCCGCCCACACCGCCGGCCACGCCCAACCTGCAGAACACCGCCCAGAAGCGCTGGAAGATCCTGGCCAAGGTGCTGCGCAAGGACTCCGAGGAGACGGTGTCCTCCTCCAGCGACGAGTTCACCGAGGAGCAAACGGCCTCCGTGCGCCGCTTCAAGAGCTTCGATCTGCTCCGCCAGGACAGCTTCGAGGATCATGTGAGCCTGAAGTGTTTGGGCAAGACGGAGAACTGGTACAAGTATCGGATGCAGCTGGAGAACGAGTCGGAGTACTCGGTGAACATCCATCACATGGAGCGCCAGCTGACCGCCAGCGATTTGATGGGCTTCAACAACACGGGCAACATATGCGTTTGGCCCTCGGAGGAGGCCCTGACCGCACTGGTCCTCTCCGAGGTGGCCTCCTATCGGGGCAAGTGGATCCTGGAACTGGGCGGGGGATTCACCTCCCTGGCCGGCCTCATGCTGGCCAAATACGCCACTCCCTATGCCGTCCATCTGACCGATGGCAACGAGATATCGGTGGAGAATGTGAGGAAGACCGTGTGCCTCAACGAGCTGAGCTGCTACACCAAGTGCTCGGTGTTGAAGTGGCAGGAGAAGTGCGCCCGATCCCAGGCAGAGCAGGCCAAGTTCGACTTCATCCTGTGCGCCGACTGCCTCTTTTTCGACGAGGCCCGCTCCGCCCTGGTGGACACCATCTGGTATTATTTGGCCCCCGAGGGATCGGCCTTGATAATGGCCCCGCGTCGTGGTCGCACCTTGAGCGTTTTCCAGGACGAATGCGTGGCCAGGGGATTCCGGGTGGAGTTGGCCACCCGATATAACGAGACCATCTGGCAGCGGCATCTCCAGTTGAAGGCCGACTCCGCCTTGTACGACGAGGACCTCCATTATCCTTTGCTACTGCGATTGTGCAAGACCCACAGCTAGGAGAAAATCGAGGGGGAAGGACACGGGGAGCCAGCTGGCTGCAGTAGGTGCAATTAAACTTAGTCAATGTTTTAGTTGATAGCAAGCAAATTCCAGTTTACACCTTAAACAAAAATGAGGCCAACCGGCCGCTCTCGACGAACAAAAAGAAAATTCCTCCCACACTGAAGTAAAAATGTAGCAAGTCAAACTCATTAGACTGGTGCTAAAAATGAACGTGATGTGTTTTCTATACAGTGTTTGGTTAAATTATATTTGATTTATTAGAGGAAAAATTATTTATTTCTTATGATCAGAATGTTAAATCCCTAAAAAAAAAGAAAAGAAGAAAATGTACCTATATATATGTACAACACAGTGTTGAGAAAGGCAATTGTTAAATAAGATTATATAAAACCAAGAGAAATATAAAAAAATACGATTTTTGCATTAACAAGGCACTGAATTAGACCCAAAAATTAAATATTTTACAAACAAGTCCAGTTGGGACTTTCACAGCCATATCTATAATACTCAAGGTACATTTTGAATGAGAATTGTTGGTACATACTCACAGCTTTAAAGCACCAGTCTAGTGATCACCTTTAGCACGTAGTTCACTGTTAAGTTGTATAACAAAAAATTCCTTTGATATGTAAATTTGATTTGCGTTGATTCCACAAGTTTTGTAATTATTTTTTTTACAAATACTCCTCGTTATGTATATGTAGTTACCTCTATATATGTTACACGCCCACAATTCACACCCTCGACCACCCACCCAACCACACACACACACACACACAAGTATTATTTAAATATAATGTATACGCTGAATAGCATACTTTTGGGCTGCTTTCGTTGAAGCGCAGAGAACACCCTCAACTGGCGGAAAATGGATTCCCGGAAACCATACACAAAGCAGCAGCGCTCGACCAATTAATTAATAGTTAACTAAACTTAGTATACTGTAATTACTTAGAGCATGTGTTAATGGTTATATGATGATGACGAGATAAATACAGTATCGGAATGCCACATATGTGCACTTGTTTTATAGCCCCAAAAGGGCAAGTAAACGGGCCACTGCAGTGATGTCAATGGGCGCTCCAACGATGATCAAACATATTGTCAAAGTTATTAGCAGGCTGTTCATTAAAATACTGATGTGGGTTGGGAACGAAGCACCGAAAGAAGCCATCGCAATCAGGCGCTTTTTTATTACGATTGCGACAGTGGCTAGGCAATTACTTTAACTGTGCAGGGATCCAGAAAGGGGACTACGTCAGCATTGGGCCACGATGGTGTAATGCCATTAATACCCTGATTGGAAAGGGTGCTTCAGTTTCCTGGAAAGAATTGGTCAAACATAACACAAACGTTTGACCTGGATTGGATTGGTATTTCCAATTGGTAATGTACATATAACAGTAGCTGTTGATTTTTGATAATTTCATAGCATAAAATTTCAAAACATAAAAGGTTTAATTATATGAATTTTTGGTAAATAAATTTATTATATACTTTACAATAATAGATCCATTAAAAAGTATAGAGGTTTGTTGTAAGTTATGTCTTTCAATGTATTTTAAAAACGAATTAAAAAAAATATTGGTTAACAACTATAAAAATGATTACACATTTTTTGAACTAAAACAATCTATTTATTGTTTAGATGACAAAGTTTACTAAAAGTGCACCAATAAATTAATTTTACAATGCATTTCAACTTTACTGACACCTTTTTGAAGTTTACAGGGCAAACAAATGTTTATCAAACTATTTAAAATTTCCCCCCACTCTGCTTGTATTGTGTGGCAGCTGACAAAAAATCAAAAATGAAAATAAAAATAAATCTGATAAGCGAAAATTACAAAGTAAACTCAACAGCATGGTGAACGCACACAAAGTTGCCTTTTCGGTTTTATGTGTGTGTGTGCGTGCGAGTGTTTGGCAGTGTTTGTGTGTGAGTGCCTGTGTGTGTTCGTCATTAACGAGGTCATTGGTAAGTAAGCTTGTTTGATGTGCCCCAGACATGTAATCCAGGCAGCGGGCCAGCAGGACATGGGCGGGAAACTCAAACAAACGCAGCCCGACAGCCAGTTGAGTGAAAAGGAGCCGGTGGAAAGACAGGACTCTGGCGACACCAGTGCTGCCAAACATACATTAAAGAAGGGTCCACGAATCGAAAATTGACCGGTCTAATTATAGGTTTATCAAGATTAAAGCTTGGAGTAACATTACTGGAATGGGTTGTATAGCAAACAAAAAATTGTCAGACTTTAATACAATTTGTCATGATAAAGGTTATCCAATCCTGCACTTCTTAAAGGTGCTTTTGGCTGACAATAGTATTAAATAAGAGATTATAAAAATATAAAGGATATACAGTTTAAAATTCAGTGAATAGCATCCTACTAATTTTTTGTGTTAGGTGGGTTTGCAAAAATCTTTACTTCTCGTCTAACAATTTGACTTGCTAAGAATTAAGATTTATTAATGTGCCTTTCAATTTATCAAATTTATAATGACTTCTAAATGCCGAAAAAAAAGTTTTCCCAGAACCCTTTTTTCAAAAAGGTATACCTATTGAAGAATGCGGATTAACTATGCATTCAAAGATTTATATCATACAAGCTAAAACAAAACGGTAGAGCCAAAATGTGAAAAAAAAATATAAAAATTAAAATTACAAACACATTTGGGCACCGATGATTTGGATTATAATTTTGTATTTGGCTTATATATGTAACCTCGAAAGCAAAACGTTGTTACCCAGTGTAGTAAATAAAGAGCAAAAAGAAACGATATCCGGATGTAATTTCCTCTTCAGGAAGCACAAATTTCACAGGAATAAGGCCAAAGGAACAGCACTTGTCGCTCGCGCCACGGAGAGCGTTGCGCATACGCCGCGTGTGTCACGCGTTGGCATGTAAATTTCGCCGCCCTTTGGAAGACTGCTAATGACATGAGCCCGGTGCCAAGTTAAGGCCAGAGTGGGGCCGAAACATGGACTTGGCGGCGGTATGCAAATCAGTTCACTGTGGCGACGACAATGATGGCCGCCACTCAATTATGCGCCGCACAGAAACGACTTTCGCTGCCTACTTTCAGGCACACGCTAAATGAAAAAAGTGTGGGGAAAAACGCTTTCGATTTTCGGTTGCTTTATAGCCAGCCTGCAGCTGCTGCCCGCCCATTTTCCTCAGGGGTCGGCCGACTAACTGATTTGATGGGAAACCCATTTCAATTTGTGCCCCGGAATCCCTTTTCGGGTTGCCAGGCGATATCCTTCGCCCATGGGAAACATGTCAAAGGACTTAACGTGGCCAACAGGTGTTCCAATTGTTTGGGCTTCGTGTCGGCGGTATTTTTAGTTTGGAGAGCCTCATTAAATTTTTAATTAGCAGAATTAGTGGAATGTGTTGCCAAGTGCGCACGAATGTCGAGGGATTCCAGCGTTTGATGGCTTCGAGCATTCTGTTGGTTTTGGGGCGAACCGTTTCATTATTAATGTCCGGTAAGTATACTTCTGGAATAGTTTTTCCGTATTCCCCTTGGGAACAATGACGTTACAGGTGCCCAGGTCCTTATATCAGACCAAATAGTGGCCTTGGCGACCTAAAAATAGACGTAGTGCCTTTATGTCACATCGTATATATTAAACTGTCTAATTATCATATAAATGGGTGGCCAGGGTGGCCTTTTGTATATTACAGGAAATTACCATGCGTGTCACTGGGTTAGTACCTTTATTCGAAGCGGAAGCGACGGAAATTATGCCATATAAAATGGTTAACCTTCGGAGTGGGAGCATTGGAAATTATGCCATATAAAATGGTTGGCCTTATCAAGGGGCAAAAGCTCAAGCGAAAGGCAGCAAATTACCTCTAATAAAGATGTTAATTGTTTGGCCCTTTCTAAGGACACAAAAAAATAAATAATAGGTAAAATAATGAAAGGCAAGGCTAAATGAAATTAAGCATTTACAGCATGATTAATAACACACCTTAAATACTTAATACTTAAATAATTATTAAGTAGATATTTTCATGAATATAAAAGTTAGTGAAATCTCTTTTTGAAGCAGGAATAAAAATAAATATTTACACTTAACAATTAAAAAAAAGTGATTAGTAAAATCGTTGGAAATTTTAAAATTTTGTTGATTGTTTTATTTTTTGATTAATCATAATTAGATAACCATTTTGCTAAAAAAGGAGAATTAGTAAGCTTTTATATTTATTTTAAAATTAAATTAACTTAACTTAAATGAGACCTCAATAAATTTAAATTAAGTGTCACACCGTTGCCTTCGATAAAAACTCTCGATTATGCAATAAAAGTAAACAATTATTTATAGATACTCATTATGCCACTCGTGGCGCACTTCACTTCTTATTTTATTTTGTCGCATCTTTTGTGGCAGAGAAACTCTTTCTTCGAGTTTATAATTGACTGTGCTCGGCACAAAGCGACTGGCAAATTATTTATGAAAATGCTGCCCTGGCCCGCTATAGAAACCTAATAACAATAATATTGCTGATTAAGCATTAATCAAAGCAGCCAGGTTGGGGAGAGCAACAACAATGAAAACAAAATAAAGCCACAAGACAATGGGCCCCAAGAAAAGGGAAAGTGATGATCTCGAGGCCAACAAAATTTATGGAACCTGGCCGCCTTAATTATGGAAAAAGCAGGGACCGATATATGGATTTTTAATTTAGCCTTTTGGAACAAACAAAACACAGACCAAAACATCGAGCTGTTTGTCAACTGATAAGCGACCGCTGATAAGAAAAGGCATTTCCACATTTTCCCCCGCACAAAAGAGACAGAGAGAAAGAGAGAGAGAGAGCAAAAAGCTCCGGCGAAAGCTTTTCTTTTCGGCCTTGGCATTGGTTCGTTTTTAACTGCGACTTCGGGTTCGTTTGTGGCCAACAGCTGATCCGAATTGGCCAGATGTTGGACTGGCCTTAACCCGCTGAGTCAGTTGCGCGGCACAGGTTAAAGCGAGCGGTTCGTGTGTCGGAAAAGCTGGAAATCAAATCAAAAGACTTTAACGGAAACTGAATGATTTATGATTTTTGTGCTGTGACAAATGAGATTTATTTTTGGACAATAGTGGATTTTGGCAATCAGCTAGAATTGTTCTTTAAGAGCCGTACATTTTGGCTATCAAGTAGCGCAAACAAATAAAATAGTTACTCTTATAACTAAAAAAAACTAAAACAACCAACAATTTGTGACCCCCTGGCAGCACTTGCATTTTCCCTCACGATCAATCGCCCAATAACTCCCGACTGACACACATTTGATGAGAACAAATAGCAAACTTAAATAAATCAACCGAAAATAATGTCAACGAAATCAATGGCAGGCCACGGCAGCTGCAACATGTTGCTGCTGTGTCTGCTGCTGTTGCTGCCGGCAGTCTCCCCCGTCCGCTTGCCCAAGAGCAGCAGCGACAACAATGCAACAGCAGCAGCAACAGCAACGGCGACAGCAGCAACATCTGCTGGCAGCAACAATGCCAATGCCAAGGCTGCCAGCAAATATGGTGAGTCCTATAAGCCGAGGAATATATTCAGGCAATCGTAGGGCCAGTTGGAGTTGCAGCTACTTAAGGTCTGCGGTTGCAGGCATGTCTGCTACACAGCAAAAAATTTAAATTTTCTAGTTTGGGTATAAAAATTCTATATATGAAAGCAGGAATATTTAAAAAGTCTCTATTTTTGATTTTTATAAAAAGTTTGCACTTTCCAAATTGTAAAAGAAATATTTTTATTCTATATAATGATACTTAGGTAAAAGCTACAGTTTATTCCTCACAATAATACTATTATGTATTCTGTTATAGGAAAAAGGTCGGCTAAATATACAATAGAACAAATTTTGTTAATTAATTTATTTCTTATTGATTATCAATTGATATATTCTAAGGCAGCCCCAAATGCACTATTTTTATACCCTTGCAGAAGGTATTATAATTTTGGTTAGAAGTTTTTAATATGAGGGATAAAGATATTAAAAGTCGTTGTTTTATGGAATAAAAAACCATAATTTTTGAAAGTGTGGATTTCCCTGTTTACCTTATTCAGTTGAAGGCTGGCTAATTGCATTTGGTCACGATCGGAGCGCTTTTTTCCCTGAACCTAGTTATGTTCCTTGAGGTATTTTCGCTTCGTCTGCCCTTGGTGGCAAACGAAAGACTCAGACAACGAACTTATCCGGCGGCCCTGTTTTTTCTGCACTGTGTGCCAATCATGTGGGCACGCTAGAAATGTGCCGACATTTCCTTCTGGCCGCTAAAAGGGGGCGCTGACACGCCCAGAACCGCAGAGCGGAAATTGCCCAGAGATTTTCGATGGAGAGCAAAAGTGTCATTAGGCCGGTGCAAAATGCCAGTAATTGTTGGCCACAAAACACACGTTTCGGCCGTTCTCTCACTCTAATCGAATTAGCCAAAGCGCTGCAATTACCTTGGCAAACGGTGACAGATCAAGATTGATCTGGCCATGATGATGGGAGGCCATTTGTCAGCCGATCTTTTATTACAGAACTTCCCGGCGGCGACTGCAATGAAAATTAATGAATCGCTGAGCCGGTGTGATCTCTTCGCCACTTCCTTCCTGGCTTGCATAACACCGCAGTGACGGGACACAAAATAAAATATATGGCCTATCAAAAATTTAGTGCCCCGTCATCGATAAACTTCCCAAGACCGAAATGTCCATTAATCAAAGCGATGCTGCAATTCGAGTGTCTGTCAATTTCCGTGGCATTTTCTAATCATCTTTGTTTTTTTTTTTGCTTTTTGGCTCAGCAATGGCATCTTGCCGTAGCCCCGATGTCAGAATTTGTGCCATCGCAGAATTTTCACTTTTCCATGTTCTCTGTGCGAAATTCGCCTAAAAATGCTGCCGCCGCCATCCACAACCACACACAAAATCGGTGTCAATGATTTCAACATGGGAAAAGCATGGAAAAGGCAGCCACACGAAGCAGCAACATCTGCAACATTGGCAACATCACCAACATGGCCAACTCAATTCAACGAGCTGCGGCAAATGGCATTTCTAATTGCAGATTATGCAAGGTTCTGGCTCAGAAGAAGTCACCAAAGCTTGGGAAATCGCCTGGAAATCGGGGCTAAGTGGGTACGGAAAATTGGAAATTTACTAGGACTCGACGCCGAGACTAATGAGTAATTGATCAGGGAACTTTAAATTTAATTTATATTGCTGAGATACCGTCTGGGTAATTAGTTTTCTTGTTAAGGAAATCCGTAGTGATTCAAATTAAAATACTTAAAAGTATTTGTTAAGTAATTAAATCTCTATTGAATATTTTAATGATAATGATAATATCTATTAATATTTCTAACCAGTTTCATTTACATGAAAAAATTAGTCATGATTAAGATTTATATAGTATATAGTAAAGATTTATATATTTATAGATTTACATAGTATTGTTCTAAAAATAAACTATACTACTAAATGAAGTATTTACAGAGTATTATGTATTATGATCTGTTGAAGTTTAATTTATAAGCTTTTCCTTTTTTTTAATAAGGTATATTTTAAAAGTTCTCTAAAGATTTCGTTTTAATTTGGCAGTGCTGAAAGTGCTGGGACTTAAGGTACAATTTCTGGGGTACTTAGAAGATGCCCCATCATTGCTCACCAAATGGACCAAAAAGTCGTCATTTAATGCTACATTTTAGCGTGTTCAAGTGAAGCTCTTGAAGGCATTCCAGACTCCTGCTTGAAGCACAAGTTCCTAACCTGCCCCCCATCCCATTAGTCGCCCAGCATCATCGTCAGGTCTAGTTTTAATTCCACCTTAACTGCCAGCTCCCCTTGGCTAATTCACGTCACACTTTGGGCCAGATCCTCGATCACTCGCAGCTGGAGAAGTGGAGAACTGTGGACTCCAACTGGCAGCACACTTCAGCCGACTGCAGATCTTCTTCTGCCGATCTGCCAACTGCCAACTGCCAGTGGGAACAACCACTTAGTGTTGGCCACAAAAACGACCGAAACGAAAACGACTGGAACAGAACTAATCCAAAAGCGTGTCTGAGACTCGGGCGGGAAACGAGTTCCTTGCCCCCGAACTTACTTGCATAGTCTTTAGTCTTTAGTGTTGTAGTAACCGTGGTAGCTGATTTGCATGCAAGAGGCACCTCGAGTGCAACTCCAACTCCAACTGCCATTGCCACTGCCACTGTTATGGCCACGAATCTCGGCTGTAACCCCGTTTTCCCGTTTGCTGCCCATGCTCATGCCTTTGTAACCTTCGATAGAGATACGCGGCGTTGCCGGTGAACCAAATTACAAATCGGTGAATCTGACCTGGGAAGTTGAATTCGTGCCGACGGCCCATGACACAGATTCGAGCCCCAACTCCAGCTCCAGCTCCAACTCCAACTCCAGAGCAGGCCAGGTGAACGCGACAAATATGAGCGGCGATGTGGAACCGCCCCGGGCTCTGGCATTCCAGATCTTCTACTGCGAGATGCAGAACTACGGCCCACAGCGGTGTCGCGTCAAATTGGTGAACGGCACCACCGCCGCTGTGTCCCAGGAGGATTTGGAGGAGAAGGAGAAGGAGCAGCAGGACGAGCACGATCCCTTAGGGTAAGTTGTTCTGCCTTTTAGGGTATGACATACTCCATAGGAATACCCCATAAACAGTACTTTCAAATCAACTGGGTTTTTTAAATTGGACTGCATTGTTTGATTCAGCATATTCAATAAAAATTCCAAATTAATGACTAGAGTTGTCAAATATTAACCAAATTCCATATTTTGAAATAAGTTAATATTATTGAAAGTAATAATATTGAAAAATACTTTCCAAAAAAAAAAAACTTTTCCAGGGGAATTTTAAAATTAAAGTTAATTGCATTTCATAAATTCTAAAACTTTTTTAAATTTAATAAAATGAAATAGGAAACTTTTTGAGTGAAGTTAGTTAACTTATTTAAAGACTATTTCAATGTAAGTTCAAGAAACTTTAATGGAAGAATAATTTTTACATAGTAATTTGACTAACATCATTTTTTTCGAGTGCAGTTCTCAGGTGCAGCACTTCGCCGCCGCTGTGGAAAACTTGCGGATGGCCACCAAATACAGTTTTCACATTCGCCCGGCGGCTCAAAGGCGCCTTCAGGCGGGCGGTACTCGAAGCTCCAATGCTCGCGCCGAATTTCACGACGAAAATGAGATCGAGAGTGGAACGGGACACCTGCCTGGCCAGAGCATTGTCATACCCACCAAGGGCTGTAAGTAGACTCGATTTATTCACACCTTTCAAGTCATTATGCTTATAAGTTTTTTAAAATAAACAATGTATAAATTATAAATTTAATTACATGTACAATCAAAACTGTATAGTTTGGAATATTCTTTATAAAATATCCAGGATTTATTTAACACAATTTTTAAAACCAACAGTCAAGAATGTTTACCATTATTTTTCTTTTATGAACTTCTATTTATTTTGTAAAACATATTTTAGTTAGGTTAAAAAAAAAATCGCTTTAATATTTTAGAAACTAGTTTGAAGTCAATAATTTTACACATTTTCTTAGTCACTGCTCATGCCACACAGTGCTTGCCCCACGCCTCGGAGATCGAGGTGGAAACGGGTCCTTATTTCGGAGGACGCATTGTCGTGGATGGAGGAAACTGTGGTATCAAAGGTGATGCCAGTGATTCAGCGGATAAGTACACGATGAGGATCGATCATAAAGAGTGTGGAAGCTTGGTAAAACCAGAGACCAATACGGTGGAGACCTTTATCACGGTGCAGGAGAACCTTGGTATCTTCACGCACAGTACGAGACGGTAAGCAAACTAATCATAATTTTAATTCTATTTATTTAACATAGTACTAACTTTTCTATAGTAAAAATATAACGTTTCTTACAAATTGGACCCCCGATCTTAAAGCTAACTTGATTCTAATTTCTATTTTATTTGTTGTGAAAAACATAAACTTTCATTTAAAGTAGTTCTCTCTGTCAATGTACATATATCATTTTTTAAAAATCCATCTTTGCCTTCTAGCTTTGTGGTGGTCTGCAGCTATCAGTCGGGCATGCAGACGGTCCGCGCAAGCTTCTCTGTACCCGGCAAGAACGGAGTGGCCGCCGCCTACGAGCCCAACGATCCCTTCCAGCCGGACGAGGATCAGCGTTTGGGCAGGGAACTCCGCCAGATGCGCTACGTCAACAAGACGGAGCTAGTGCTGCGGGAGCCAGCGGACTCCTCCCAGTCCGATCCCCAATCCGATTCCGAGTCCGAATCCGTGGAGCAGGCAGCGGTGGTGGAGCAGACCCAGCCACCCACTACGGAGCAGGAGCAGGCTGCTCAGTCCAGAGGTCAGGGCAGAGCTCTCAACCTCAACGAGGTCAACAGCTTGGCGGAGGAACCGGCGGAGGGTCATCATTTGGAGCCAGTAGTGGGCACCAAGTACGCCAAACTGGTTGTGGACCAGACCCACGACTCCTGGATGCCCCTGGAGGCGGGCTCACCACCAGGTGGTAACGTGGAGGATGAAGGTAAGTGGCCTGTCAGCGACAATCGTGATTCCTAAATGCCTATATAGTTGCAGTGCAAGAAAATATAAAATCATTTTAGTGTTCTAATTTAACTATCCATACTTTTTCTATAAATATTAAGTGGTCAGTAATCTTTCAGATAGGTTTTAAAAACATCAAAATATTTAAATATTTAAAAAGTTAACAAAATAATTTCTAGACTTTATTGCTTAAGAACTTGAATTTGTTAATTTAAAATTTTTCAGTATTTAATTTAAATATTAATAAGAAAAGAACCTTGAAATAACTCTGATATTAATATGTTTATTACAATAAATCATAATTAATTTATTTAATAATAATAGAAAGATGAACTTAAAATTAGTCTTGCTTGAAATTTTAAAATGGAATTGAAAACTTGTTAAGTTAACTGATAAATGAACAGAAGTAAATTTGGAATATAAGAAATACAAATTATGATCCTTTATTTCAATATTATTTTATAATAATTTTAGAAGTTCTTTCATTTCTTATTCCAATGGTAGTGTTATTAGTATAAATTTACTAAATATTAAGTAATTTGGTTTTGCTTAACTTTTTCTTCCTGTGCAGCCGTTCTGCGTTATATTGGCTCCCATCTGAGCAGCGTGCTGGTAACCGTTTCGCTATCTGTGATAATCATCAGCATTTGCATCGTTCTGCTGCAGCGCCAGCGGATCCGCTCGCCGCCCCGCAGCCCCGCCCCCTCGCTGGCCGCCCACCTGCCGCACAAGACGCTGCCGCGTGCTCTGCAGCAGCAGCAGTACCAGTGCACCTTGTAGGTGCCCCACCTGCCCCCAAACTCCACCGACTGCCCCGCCTCGTCCTCCGGCCTCCAGCTCGCTATGCCCACTTGTCTTGCTGAATGTCAAAAGGAAAAGAAGAAAACTCCATTTGGCTGAAGATGACTGCGCATAGCCACGCCCCACGCCCCCCACTCCCCATAAATCCTGCGGGAACTGCGGTTCCCAACTCAAAGCCCCAACGGTACCAGCGGGATCGGCTTCCTACGATTTACATAATTGCAAACTCGACTTTGACTCTGGCCAAGCTTTAACTGCGATCGCGATCACGAGGGAGGACGAGCGGGCAGAGGCAGTTCTCATAGAGCGAGATTAGTCTTTAGACTCCTAGACGTACGATTTTTGTATAAATTATTTATGCCCAGAAAATATATATATTTATAGCTACTAAATACAATTGGTTGTTTTCATTTGGCACGGTTTCAGAGGTACAAATATACAATATCTTATATCTTAAATTAATAATCATTATGACTTTAACAAATACTTTGCTATATTTTACCAGTATTGGTATGGAATTTAAAGACGTTCCTTCACAATTTTTAAAGACCTTAATTTTATGATGATGGTGCTTTGTTACATATTTTAATATTAGTAAACATTTTTTTTAATGACTTCAAAATATTTTGATACATTCATTTTATACCAAATGTTTAAATAATCTAAGAACTGAGAGTAAAATTAACTTTTATCTGGCTGATAATCTAAACTAGGTCTCATGAAACAGCGCCACACATCGCTTTATTATTAATAAAAATGTAGTAAACATTTTATGGCTGCTAAGTGAGTTAAAAAATATGCATAGCCTAAATTGATTTCCGTTTAAAAGTAGTTCCCAAGCTTCAGTTTCCTTGGGAATGAAAGTCAACCAATAGGTCAATTCCCAAAATAGAAGCCCACCTCCGCCAAGTTTAAACTTCCGACCCAGAAGCTTGCCAAAATTTAGGTTCCAACTGTCATCATCATCAGACGATAATTTCGGAAATAGGTTCTTAACGATTCCATCAAGAGTACGAATGTTGAATGTGTCTCCGCTTCTGGTCATAAAACAGAATTACGAAATTATGTTGAGACGTTGGCTCGTCAGACGGCGATTTGCATGAAAGTGGCACACAAAGTGTTGTAAACTCCGCACGTTCGAGGTTCTCCAGGTTCTCGATGTTCTCCACTTGGACTTTAGGGGGTTCCCCGCCTCGAAACGGAAGCCGGCAGAAAAAACATGAAACAGGCGAACCGACAAAAGACATAAAACTGCAGTCGGGGGCTCGTCTTGTTATTCTTGCCGGTTGCCCAATATGGAGAGGAGACTCTCGGTCGAAGACCATGTGGAGTTCCGAATCCGAATCCAAAAACCAAAACCCAAACCCCAGTCGGATGGGACGTGCCCACGGTGAGAAACCGGCGAAAGGCGTTCTTTTAACTTTCTGATTGAAGTGCCTGGACTTGAGGCTGCCTATATTTTGCATAGAAAAGCCATTAGGTTGGGATTTTCATCATCATCGCCATCAGATACAAAAGGTTTGTCTGGCCTTTTGTTTGCATTATTAGAACACAAAAACCAAGTGAGCGTTAAGATCGCGCGCGCAAAAGCCGGAGAAAAAAATAGAAAACAACAAAATACTAAATAAATAAACTTTCTCATCTGCAAGCTAGACTGCACTTAAAAAAATATTTAAAAAAAGTCTCAGGAATGTTGGTTCTTTCTAAAGATATTTATACAAATATTAAAACATGAGAAACATGATATACTATATTTGACATAGACATTTTTTCCCAACGAAGTGCTTTAAACTATAATTTTCTCATTTAAAGATAATTGGTTTTTTTTTTAAGAGTTAAAAAAAGCCTTTTTTTAATTATTTTATGTCAATGTTTTGATAAACATAAAATAAAATATATAAAAATAAAAAATTACTGCGGATTTGACTTGATTTCTTGTCATAAAAACATATGTACATACATGCTATACAAATACTTTCTTGTTGGTTTTTAACCAAACTATCAAACTACACAACTTTCAGAAAGACAAATTATTTGGTAAGTGCTTGGGTTTTGTTTGTTTTTTTTTGGAAAAATTGTTCTTTCTACGCATTCAATTTTGATACGATTTTGTTACGAGTTTTTCCGCTTTTACCTGTTGTACATTTTTTTTTTAAGTTTTATCAAAGAAAAATCTTTCATAAATTTTGTTAAGTGCTGCTTAAAGCTGAAAGAATCAGCAAGCAAGTCCAAGCCTTTGCCTTCACCTTCACCCATTTCAATGGGCCTCCACCACTGCACCACCGCAACCGCCGGCGGCTGCTCAAATTTCAAATTTCACCCACAGTGGGCCCTGGCGTTTTGACGTTGATTAGCATGTGGCACACATAAATCTGTGGCGGGATTGGGCTTCCGTTTCCCTTTTTCGAACGCACTCGTTAGACCCCCAGATCCGCAGATCTCCAGATGGCGGCCGAGCATAACGCGATGCATTCACCATTGGAGAGCCATTGGGGAACCATTGGAGAACCGCCGGGGAGTCGTGGACCCGTGCATAATGAGGCCAACGATCTTGGCCAAGAAGCCAGCCGAACCAGTTAATGAGCCGCCGCTGTTTTGGATTAGAATGCGAGCAGCTGAGCTGACGAAGACGAAAGTAAAACTGCCTCGAGAAAGTTTCCATTTCTGGCTCTGGCCAAATATCGAGATCATTTTTCTTTCTAGCCCCGCAGTTATTAATGTTGAAACGCAGCTGGGGAGCGTTTTCTAGGGGTAATTACTGGGCCACCTCCTCCGGTTTACATCTAATTATTTGCGATCTGAACTCGAGATTCGTGTCAGATCCCCAGATCTGCATTCTGCCGGCAAATTGCACCCAAATGTCTTCCCTCTCCGTTTGGGCCCAAAACAGCCAACCGACATCAGCATCTGGGTTATCTTTTGGGCAATCGTGATCTGGCAGAACCACAAAAATGGAACAGCCGACAAGCGGCTCATTGTTTTTAGCCATCATCAGCAGCGGACTCTGTGTTCGGGGTTTCTGTTTTGTTTCCGAACCCAGATTCTGGGCTAATGACAGTCGCACTTTTTAATGATTATTATTATGAATTATGTGTGGTTTTCCGGGGCCAGCGGAGGGACTAGAAATCGGTGTCAAATTGGGGAATTGTTTTCAGCTCAAAATGGGTGAATTTATGCGGTTACGGGGTTAAATACCATTTTGGCCAAAGTTTGTCGACAGCTTTTGATTGATGAGTTTGGCATTCTTAATGTTAATGGGAAGATTGTTATTAAATCTAACTATAAAGTTACATTTTTATTTAACCTCTTTGCTGTTACTTCTAATAATTTTATTTAAAAATAAAACTACAATTATTCGTTTATTATTGTTTATACTTATAATATAAAATTATTAATGCAATTGTGATGCTTTAATAATTGACTTACATTTTATGGGTAAAAAAAGACCCAAACATTGTGTTGATAAGATACGTATGGGAATTCTACTTTTTTTAAGAAGCGAAGATTAACCAAATAATAAAAGCGATAATGCAAGTGCTATCAATACGTGTATGCTGAAAGGTATCAGGAAATATTATAGATATTTTTATTGCCACTCGGGTTATCGCAACCTAGCACAACAAAGTACGTACTCTTTTTTAATTGATGTGTCATGTAGTTAGTGGACAAACCTAATCTTAAACAATATAAAGACCTGCTGACCAGTGATTACTGACAGTCTAATGAAAACCAGTGATCCATTAAAATGGTTAAACATTTCAGTCTCGTTTTTGTATTAACCCTGGCCATTACTTCTCTTAACTATGGAACACAGAGTGCAAATATTCTTGGACTTTTTCCGAGCCTAAGTCCCTCGCACCTGATAATCTCAATGTCAGCTGCCAAGGTTTTGGCCGAGCAGGGACACAATGTGACAGTGGTCACTGTTCTGGAGCCAACGATAACCCATAGGAATATAAATCTGATCCAGATACCTCTTACCAAGGAGGAAATTAAAGAAAGAAGCGAGAGCATTGGAGCAAAACAAAAGAATACCAGTGGTCATCGGCTTCTTTCTATTCTTAACATGGCTGATCAAATGGACTCTATGTTGAGAAAGATGAAAGATGTCCTGAAGGACAAACGAGTTAAGGATCTTTACTTGAATAAAGGCAACCACTTCGATCTGGTAATCTCGGGATACTTTATGAATGATTACCAGTTAGGATTCGCTAGAAAGGTGAATGCTCCTGTAATCGTTCTGGCACCCGGTCCACCCAATCAGATGCTAAACTCCCTAATAGGTAATCCCCATGATCCAGTGGAAAAGGATAAGAACATGACCTTTGGACAGCGTTTGGATAGCTACATTACCAGCCTCATCTATGGAATTTTTGTGCGCCAAATCGACAGGCTAAATCGCGAATTTTACAAGTAAGTTTTCTTTCATTTAAAAAAAAAGAGGTCTTCTATGTAATTATTTTCAGGGAACTCTTCACCGACGATCCCAGCATGCCGGAGTACTCGGAAATCCTTAAGAATACTTCTTTGGTGTTCTTCTGTTCCCATGGAGCAAGCGAGGGATCCATAAGACCCAATGTCCCAGCTGCCATCGAGATTGGAGGAATACAGATCAAGGACAAACCAGATCGCCTGCCTAAAAACCTGGAGGAGTTCCTGAGCAATGCCACCGATGGAGCCATTCTCCTGAGTCTGGGCTCCAATGTCCAGGGTACTCACATAAAACACGATACAGTGCAAAAGATGTTCAACGTCCTTTCAAAACTAAAGCAGAAGGTCATTTGGAAATGGGAGGATCTGGAGAATACACCTGGAAAGTCGGACAATATTCTCTATTCCCGTTGGCTGCCTCAAGACGACATCTTGGCCCACCCGAATATAAAGCTATTTATAAATCACGCCGGAAAAGGAGGAATTACCGAAGCTCAGTATCATGGAAAACCTATGCTGTCTTTACCAGTGTTTGGAGATCAACCCAGTAACGCGTTTGCCATGGTGAGAAATGGTTTTGGCCTCACACTTAGCCTGCTCACTCTGGAGGAGGCTCCTTTCGACCAGGCCATTCGGGAGATCCTATCGAATCCGCAGTATAGCCAGAAGGTGGCCAAGTTCTCCTCCCTCTATCGTGATCGTCCCACAAGTGCCCGGGAGTCGGTCATCTTCTGGACGGATTACATTATCCGACATAATGGAGCTCCTCACCTACAAAGTCCCTTGGTTCACATGGACTTCATTGCCGCCAATAACTTGGATATATACGCTTTGTTCACTGCTATATTAGTTAGTATTGTATTGATTCTTAAGGCGGTGATTCAATATATTTACGCAAAGCTAATCTCAAAGTTTAACAAGGCAACAAAGGTCAAGAAACACTGAAAGTTCGGCAGACTTGCAGTTGTAGAATTAGCTCTAACAGGTTTGCCTAATGGAAAGTATTACAGAGCTAAGCGTTTTCATAAGATTCCTAATTATTCATAGAGTATATAAAAACTAGTTAAAGACAGAAATAAAAGCCCAAATTCTAAGACGAAAAGGAAAATAGTATTTTTACAATCCTGGGATTTCTCGCTTCTCCCACAAGTTCAAATGAGTTCAAGCGAATAAACCCGGAATGGTTATGGGATTGTGCAGAAACTACTCTTCCGAAACAGGTCTTTAACTTAAAGATACTTTGATGACATCACCGGCAAAATGCCCTTTTAATTCGAGAAAGGCAGTGCCAACAAAGTCGCAGTGAATTGGCATGACTATAACCATTATGCAGTGACTATATAAAGTGTAACTACAGATGCTTGGAACATAATTTAGCGTAAATAAAAACCTGATGTTTGGTTAATTTTCTTTTCCATTTCTCGCCGAGATTCCCCTCACGCACCGCAAAGGAGAACCGAAGTAGAATAACAAGTGGAAGTGCCAGGCCCATTTCCAAAGGCCAGGCTATAACCACAGACTGCAGACACAAGCCTGGTTATAGTATTGCACTGCGAGAAAAAAACAGGGAAAATGGAAAAATTAAAAATAATTCTGTATGCTTAAGTTTATCATAAAGACATTTAAACACATTTGGGATCTGTTTTCAGTTGAATGGAACGTGGAACAATTTATAACATATTAGTATAGGTCCAACACTTTATTTTTAACTAGAAAATTTAAAATTTTAAGAATCATTTTTGAAACACTATGATAACTTCCATTAAAGTGATTAAGCAGTTCTTTAATAAATATTAAACATGGTATGAAAACATTCAAAGTATTTTTAATTTCAGAACTCGAGGCTTACAATTATTCTAAATATCTTGTTGTGCACTTTGATATATGCACCTGCTGTGGCCATTGCTGTTGTTGGCCTTCCGCTGATTTCCTGCATCGCTGCATGCAAGTTATGTCTCTATCAAGTTTAGTATTTGTATCTGACGCCGCGGCGTGCAGAATTCGCAGCAAACTTGATGCATGGCCGCAGTTGAAGCGCAACGGTTGCCGCAGCAACTCGAAGTACAAGTACAGCAGCAACAGCAACAGCAGCAACATCTGCAACAGCAACTATTGTAACCGTAACCAGCCCATTCCCAATCCAATCCGAAATAGCGTTCTCGGTGTCGCAATGCGTCGCACGCGTAACCTCGTCTCTTTTTTGTAGTCATCTTTAAATACCCTTTAAGCCTTGATCAAGCAGGGTATATTAGGCCAATGAGAGGAAACCATTTTCATATACTAATAAATAATTAAATCATTATTTACATTTATACTAATCAACAAAATGTATTTAGTAAAAGGTACTTATACTTTGGAAACCTGTAAACATTTTGTTGTATGTTTGTATGTACAAAATATATTTTTCTATTTTTTTCACAGACTTTCCCAGGAAGAAGAAATTGCTTTAAATCTATACGTAAGTTTAATTTTAATTAATTGTTTCTTTAAAAAACTGCTTTGATGTGGAATTTTTTTTTAAATGTTAGTAAACATGTTTTTTCAAGCACTTTAATGAATCTTACCCATTTATGATTTTTTACTTTATTTAAAGTTCCCTAGGGTGGAATGTGGAAATAACACCGCTTTGATAAAACTCTTCAGAACATCAGTTTAAATACCAGTTTCTATTCCTTCGCATCGCACCGCTTTTGGCCATCGCGCATTTTTAAGCACATTTAAAAGTCTCTCTCTTGGGCTCGTCTTGTTTTTGCGAGTGGCTGGCATCCCAAGGCGGTTCATCCCAGCCCACCGCAACCCATCTTGGCCCATTCCTGGTCATGGCCAACCCATTCCCATTCCCATTCCCAATTCCAATACCCATTCCCCATTCCCCAGAATGGCCATTCCATTTCGGCTCGGAGCTCATAACTGTTCTTGACGCGCTTACCTTTGAAATTAGCTGGCCCGGCCAATTCCAGCGTGCGTTTTGGGCCATTCTGAGTGACAACGGCGACGGTCATGGCCAGAAGAAACTGACTAGCCACGCCCCCCTGGGCCCGCCCCCTGCTAATCAACTGCGTATTTCAATTTACCGTTGCCAAAAAAAAAGATGGAAAAAGAACAGAGTTAGAAGAAATTCTACACTGAAGGAACATAATAAAATTAAATATTAATTCCGTTGTAAATTGATTGAACATTCATATTAAATTTTTCATAAAATATACATTTTTTCTTAAAGCAACATTTTGAATTTATGTATTTTCATAATAGTTAAGTCAGGGCTTCAAAATCACACTAAATCATTAACATTTTAAATAATTAAAAAGTATTTTCTATCATTTAGTGCAATACATACATTAAATTAACTTTTATTATTGTATCTTGTTTATATACATGTAAAGTTATATTGCTTTCTTGAAAAAGAATTAAAGCTTAATTTTTAAATTTAAGCCCTAATTATAATGGACTATATTTTTTTAAACTTAGTTGATATTATGTTTTATATAGAGGTTAAATTCCAACGTTTCAAATCTTTTTTTCAGTGTTGTGGAGGTGGATAGTGACTAAAAAACATGGAGTAACGAATAAGAAGTGATATTCTGAGAGAGTACTTAAGTTAATTCCGATTTTTATGCGACATTCGTTAGTTTCGGCATATTATTGCTGACACTTGGTTATGGAGTTTCCGCGAATCCAGGGTCTCTGGAGTCCAAACCCGAGAGTCGTGCAAATTGTGGGAGATCTCTGTGCCATTTCGTGGCCATGCTCCATGCTCCATGCTCCCTGCCACCCTCCACTTCGCATTAAGTCATTTTCCCATTGAATCTGCTCCAGATTCCCACACAATTGCTCTGCCCACTTAGGCTTCTACTTCGTACTTCTCTCCCTGATTTATTTATTTTGCCAGGTCTTACTAATTTTTATTTGCTTGCAATTTCCAACTCTTTCTCGAAATAATTGCGAAAAAAGCTCAGAAAAATAAACGGAATTGGGCGCAGGGCGAAAGTGTAGTAAGCCACCTTAAATGGGTTTGGGCCATTAAATCTGTGGCCCGATGAAACTCATTTGGGCCGCTTTGTTGCTTTCCTCACTCATCGGGTTTCTATAAAGCGGGCTTTACATATAGCCTAATGCGTCTTTGTGAGAGCCATTCAAAGATAATCGCCGAAAGCTGCACAATTAACATTGCCTGAGTTTCAGTAGATCCGAGAAAGATGATTTCGAATCAGTTAAATCTGATGGGCAAGGGAATACAAAATCTTAAGTGAGTTTCTAATAAAAAGAGATTGTGTGAATAGCTTAAAAGAATTTCTCTTTAAAAGTTTAAGTGTCTAGATTTAGGCAAATGTCATAATTTTGTGACTAAATTTCAATAAAATAATTATTGCAACACTTTTATTTAATGATTAAAAAACTGTATATTGCCTTTTTGGAGTTTCTATCCAAAATAATATACATAATTTATTCATAGTTCTTGAATATTTGTTAGATGTATTTTTAATCATTTAATTGCTGACATTTTGCAAAGGTATTCATTATCAAATTATCTAAATGACTGAATTTTAGTAATTCTTAAATTTTAAAAATAGTTTAAAATAGATAGTTGAAATAAATTATATAAGAACATGTCGTTATTCTTTTCATTGCCTTTGGTAAATTCAACCGTATTATCTCATCCGTTAAAATCTTTTTAAACGGGTTCTCAAAGTTCCCAAATAAATCTTGTAAGAGCTGACCTTTTAGCAGAGGTCATTTGGTGTAGCCTCGTCTAACAAGAAATCTATTTTACCACCAACTCGCACTTGAGAATCTCACTATTTATAACCAATGTTTAAGCAGACTAATTTGAATTTTTCCCAAGCAATGCTTTTCCCAGAATTTTCACTTCACATTCCCGAAGGGCAATTCCAGCTCTCCCACTCTCAATGCTCCATAAAGAATGCTCATTTCACTAACAAATCTTTAAGCCGAATCGTCCGATTTTCAAGAGCCATGAACCCAGAGAGCCCTAAACCTCCTAAGATCCATAAAAAGAAATGATGTGAGGGCCGGGGAAACGGAACAGAGTCGTCAACAGACAGCAGACAATGCCAACGTTTTACTAACTTAATTCTACACCTCGCATTAATCAGGCCCCTGCAGAGCCCGACATAATTATATGATTAATAAGCTCCATTGTGAGCGAGTGAGTTGGGTGAGCGTGAAAATGAAAGTGCTGTCGATAGAGTGGTGGAAAAAGTTTGTAGAAGGGGGATTACTTAGCGCACTGCAATTTGCCGTTGCACTTTTCGCATTTGCTTTTCACATCCCGCAACGCACAGATTCCGTTATTATACGTAGTAAACCCGCGATATGACCACCTCCAACGTTTCCATTGTTTGCTTTTAATTTTCGACGTGCGAGCGCAGACAGGTGCAATTAAAGGCGCTGCAAATTGCATCGCGATCACTCATCTAGCGGCTCGAAAGCCATGGATATAGATGCCTGGGTGCTGACTTATTACCAGCACTGTGCTCACAAAATTAATTCAAATCGAACGGTCTGTGAAATCATTTGGGTTCATTTCGTTAAGCTTTATAACTTTAATTGGATTTTACCAACATTATTTGTATCCAAAAAAAAAGCGCTTTCCCAAATATTTTTAACAAAAATTAAATCATAATTTTTAATATCAAGAAAATGTATCTTGTTATTTATATTATATTGTGTTAAAGATTAATAATTTAGCAGGAACTCACATTACAGATATTCAAATAAAACACAAATTGTTTTCTGTTGTTTTCATTTTCTAAACTCCACTTTCCTAGGCAGTGTTCATTTGTTCGATTTTGGCGTGCGGAAAGTTGGTGTCAGTTGGGCATTAATAACACCAGTCAATAATACACATACCCGATGTGTCCCGAAGCTGGCACGCTCGCTTTGGATGTAATTAGGGTCACCTGCGATGGAGCCGGAGATGGAACGTGGAACATGGACTACTAGAGCTCAGCCAGCGCACCACATTGGTGGTTTGACTTTGGGCCAAAAAGCAACTTCAAATGGTTGCTGACAAATGTCAGAGCTTGGTGGGCAGGT